TGCAAATATACTGTGTGTTATAGGGAAATAATGCCCTTCAAGCCAATAGGAAACAAGTATTCAACAATGCCATGGTATAAGCTGTTTAAACTGGGTGGTTCGAGCCCTGAATGTTGATTGGATGACAGCCGTGGTATATTAGACCATATACCACGAGTATGACAAACATTTATTTTTATTGCTCTAATTACATTGGTAACGAGTTTATAATAGCAATAAGGCACCTCAGGGGTTTGTGGTATATGGCCAATATACCACGGTTAAGGGCTGTATCCAGGCACTCCACATTGCGTCGTGCATAAGAACAGCCCTTAGCCGTGGTATATTGGCCATATACCACACCTCCTCGGGCCTTATTGCTTAAATAGAAATAAGGCCATGCTCCTAAAAAAACGTATTGTCCTGCCTCATCTTAAATGGCACTCCATTGAAAGGCTGCATTGAGACAATGACTTATCAATGACCCAAGCCCAGTTAATCCATACCATTGTGTCACTGAGTTGTCATAATGCTTCAGAAAATGTACATTATACCAGGGACATTGGTAGACACAATGTAAGAAACATAATTTATGTCCCTCAAACTGCAATGAATGCCTCTGCTGATCCTACAGCTATTATATGCAGTAATCATGTGCCTATGAACCAGAGTTATACATTAGCACTGAGGCGGTGTGCCCTAGTAGGAAGTCCACCATGTGCAGCTCATTCTGCACTAACATAAATAACATGAGCATGTCTACTTCTGCTAAGCTTCCCAGTAAAGCAATGAAAACAGGTAAGCATCTCAGAAAAGTGCTAAACATAGCCCACGTTAACGTATGTAGCTTAAGAAACAAGGTTCATGAAATTAATAACTTGATAGTAACAGATGACATTCATATTCTGACTATCTCTGAAACTCACTTAGATAATACCTTTGACGATACATGTTTATAACATCTACAGAAATGACAGAAATACCAATGGTGGAGATGTTGCTGTTTATTCAGAACCACATTCCTGTAAAGCTTAGATAGGATTAGTGTTAAATACTGTTGAAGTAATGTGGGTACAGGTTCACCTGCCTCACCTAAAGCCCAATCTTCTGGGAAGCTGCTATTGACCACCAAGTGCTAACAGTCAGTAGCTTGATAATATGTGTGAAATGCTTGATAACGTACAGTACCAGTCAAAAGTTTGGACACACCTAAACATTCCAGGGTTTTTCTATATATTTACTATTTTCTACATTGTAGAATAATAGTGATGACATCAAAACTATGAAATAACACATATGAAATCATGTAGTAACCAAAAAAGTGTTAAACAAATCAAAATGTATTTTATATTTGAGATTCTTCAAAGTAGCCACCTTTTGCCTTGATGACAGCTTTGTACACTCTTGGCATTCTCTCAACCAGCTTCATGAGGTAGTCGCCTGATATCCATTTCAATTAGCAGTTGTGCCTTGTTAAAAGTTAACTTGTGGAATTTCTTTCCTTCTTAATGCGTTTGAGACAATCAGTTGTGTTGTGACAAGGTAGGGGTTGTATACAGAAGATAGTCCTATTTGGTAAAATACCAAGTCCATATTATGGCAAGAACAGCTCAAATAAGCAAAGAGAAATGACAGTCAATCATTACTTTCAGACGTGAAGGTCAGTCAATACGGAACATTTCAAGAACTTTGAAAGTTCCTTCAAGTGCAGTCGCAAAAACCATCAAGTGCTATGATGAAACTGGCTCTCATGAGGATCACCACAGGAAAGGAAGACCCAGAGTTACCTCTGCTGCAGAGGATAAGTTCATTAGAGTTACCAGCCTCAGAAATTGCAGCCCAAATAAATGCTTCACAGAGTTCAAGTAACAGACACATCTCAACATTTACTGTTCAGAAGAGACTGCGTGAATCAGGCCTTCATGGTCGAATTGCTGCAAAGAAACCAGTACTAAAGGACACCAATAAGAAGAAGAGACTTGCTTAGGCCAAGAAACATGAGCAATGGACATTAGACCGGTGGAAATCTGTCCTTTGGTCTGATGAGCCCAAATTTGAAGCACGGAGGAGGAGGTGTCATGGTGTTGGGGTGCTTTGCTGGTGACACTGTCTGTGATTTATTTAGAATTCAAGGCACACCTAACTAGCATGGCTACCACAGCATTCTGCAGCGATACGCTATCCCATCTGGTTTTCGCTTATTGGGACTATCATTTGTTTTTCAACAGGACAATGACCAAGAAGGAGAGTGATGGAGTGCTGCTTCAGATGACCTGGCGTCCACAATCACCCGACCTCAACCCAATTGAGATGGTTTGGGATGAGTTGGACCGCAGAGGGAAGGAAAAGCAGCCAACAAGTGCTCAGCATATGTGGGAACTCCTTCAAGGCTTTTGGAAAAGCATTCCAGGTGAAGCTGGTTGAGAGAATTCCAAGAGTGTGCAAAGCTGTCATCAAGGCAAAGGGTGGCTATTTGAATATTCTCAAATATAAAGCATATTTTGATTTGTTTAACACTTTTTTGGTTACTACATGATTCCATATGTGTTATTTCATTGTTTTGATGTCTTCACTATTATTCTACAATGTAAAAAATAGTAAAAATAAAGAACCCTTGAATGAGTAGGTGTGACCAAACTTTTGACTGGTAGTGTATGTCCATAATAAAGCACTGCTCTACCTTCTTAACAACACTATCAACAAGGCAGGTCCCACAGGCCCTAGTTTTGTCACACCTGGACAACTGTTCAGTCGTGTGGTCAGGTGCCACAAAAAAGGACTTTGGAAAATTGCAATTGGCTCAGAACAGGGCAGCATGGCTGGCATTTGGATGTACACAGAGAGCTAATATTAATAATATGCATGTCAATCTCTCCTGGCTCAAAGTGGAGGAGAGATTGACTTCATCACTGCTTGTTTTTGTAAGAAGTGTTGACAAGCTGAATGTACCGAGCTGTCTGTTTAACCTACTAGCACACAAGACATGCCACCAGAGGTCTCTTCACAATCCCCAAGTCCAGAACAGACTATGGGAGACGCACAGTACTACATAGAGCCATGACTACATGGAACTCTATTCCACATCAGGTAAGTGATGCAAGCAGTAGAATCAGATTTTAAAAAACAGATAAAAAATACACCTTATGGAACAGCGTGGACTGTGAAGTGACACACACACAGGTACAGACACACGCACACGCATTCTACACACACATACATTGTGGTATTGTTGTATGCTGGTATTGTGCATTTTGTGTTGTGGATATGTAGTGGTGTAGCGGTGTTATATGATTTACTGTTTTATCTTTTTGTTTTATGTGTAATGTAAGTATCTTGATGTGTTTGGACTCCAGGAAAAGTAGCTATTGGGGATCCCTAATAAAATACAATCCAAAAATCGTGACCACCACTGATATAGTCACTGATAGTCAGCCAGGATGATGGACATGATCACAAATGCAGTGAGTCAGTGGAAGGTCATGTTGGATTCAGGTAGCTGTATTGGACTAGCAATGAATCAAAGCTTACTTCTAAATAATGAGGTGACTAAAGAGCCCAATCCTGGAGGCACACGTTATACCACAGCGAGGGCATCATTGTACAGTAAGGGAGAGGGTGTCCAGGGTTCTCTTTCCTTACGTTGAAGCCTCTGAGTTTCCTCATTGATCCTCAGACGCTCGTGACTTGGAATACTTCTGCTGCCTTTTCTATATCCAGACAATGGTGTTTGAGTGTAATTATGGCAGGCCTATTGGATTCCCAACAAAAATAGTTTTGAATACAGGTTATAAGTACAGTACACAAATATTAAAGATGTCTCTCATTTTAAACATATACAGGTGATTAAACCACAATTTAATGGTATTGTGGCAGCCATATTAGATTTTGGATGCCATAATGGATTTGGAGTGAAATCTAGGGGGGCCCCTTAACGTAACTGCAAGAGGCGGAACATACAAAATTGCAGTTTTCACTGTCTCAGCCCACTTGCTTTCCTTACAGACGATTAGATTACAATAGCCACAACATTTAAAAAATACAACTTTTAACTGTATGCATTTTTGTCAGGCAGGACCATACAGCACTGAATGAGAGAGAATTTTACTTGGAAAGTGTCTATTAATCAGCTACTAAAAAGTAAAGCTTACATGCATCATAAATATTCATAGTTGATATACAGGTATATATTTCCAAGATGTATTAAGATATCCTAATGCTGTTTATTTGTGTATGTAGTGCAGACAACTGACTACTTGTATTCCACATTTTAGCAATATCAGAGCTTGCAACATTGGGTTACATGAGCTTATGTGGCACACGCCCCCTCCAGCCAGGCATTCTGCACTTTTTGAGTTTAGGGCACGTGTCAAACTCATTCCACGGAAGGCCGAGTGTCTGCGGGTTTTCGGTCCTCCCTTGTACATGATTGAGGAATTAAGGTCACTGATTAGTAACAAACTCCCCTCATCTGGTTGTCTAGGTCTTAATTGAAAAGAGAAACCAATATCCAGCAGACACTAGGCCCTCCGTGGAATGAGTTTGACACCCCTGGTTTAGGGGGTGTTTTCTTTAGAGCTGATTACAACAGCCACAACATACAAAAACATGTGTAACTGTATGTATTTTTGTCAGGCATGACCAAACAGCACTGAATGAGAGCATATTTGTGGCCCAACCCCCTCCAGCCAGGCATTATTCTGCATGTTTTGAGTTTAGGGGGTGTGACTCAATATCTATCAATTTTACTAAATGGGAGACATTAAAGATGTGAAACAACATGGTTGTGTTTTGTTCTACCTCAGGTAGGGGTATCTCAAAAACTAAAGCCCCTTTTGAGGATTGGCCACTCACTGGCCTAGTGTCAGTGTGAGTGTTTGAGTGTGACTGTATTTGTCAGAGTGTGTTACATCAGCCAGTACTAGATGTAATCTATGCATAAATTAATAAAGGGCATGTCAACCGAGTCTTTGATTTGGTTATACAAATATCATTGTATCAAAGAACTGACCCCACTGAAATTCAATTATTTTCTCTTTATTTCATAAATTAGACAGGTACATAATTCTGTTGATTTCATGAACCGTCATCAGGCACAGCTAACTGTTGATTGGCTGCATTAGTCAGATGCAGGTTGGTGGTGTGACATGATTGGCAGCATCGTGTCATAAGGTGGGCAGGCTTTTCTTCCCTCAGCAGGAAGTGAAGCCCTTCCAGTAGAAGTTCTTGCAGCCGGCTTTGCGCTCGCGGGGGGGCAGGTTGTTGGGGTTGTCCACTGAGCGCTCCAGCTCCACGCCCAGGTCCTCTTTGGCCCCCGCCGTGGACACCTCACTTTCCTGGGCCTCCACCTCAGGCAAGGACAGTTGGGATAGAATGTCCTCCACCACTTGCTTACTCCACTCCTACATGCAGGAAAGACACACATACTTTGGGAGAGTATAAACACACACATACAGAAGCCAATATCAACAAAAGCAAACACAAACCTACACGCGTCATACACTCACACACAAGCACACAAGTGATCGCGTGTGCACGCACATACACACACAGACACAGCCACACACAAATGTAATCATTACCACATTAAGGCAGTCAGTGTTCATTTTCATGTCTCAATATGGTCCCGATTCCGACCTGAGTTAAGCACGCGTAAATGGAACTTAATTCCCTTTTTATGCACTTTTGTCTCTATGAGTATTCTGACCTTGAATTTAAGCATGAAAATAGCATGCTATTCACCTGCTATTCATTCGGAGCGGAGATCTAAGAAATGAAGGTGTGGCGGAGGTGTGTCTACAGATAAGGAAACTATGAATAAGGTCGAGCCAACCTGCCGGTTCCGAGTGGAAAAAGCATCTACTTACTTTCCGATAGAAATAACAGCATCTTCCATGCACTATAATTATTTAATGGATAAGAGCTAGGTAAATGAGTAATCCATCTGGAGAAGGGGATTGTAAATACACATAGCAATTGTTTAGATGATTGTTCCTTGTGATCCCTGAGGACGAATGTGAAACCAGCCACATGGAAGCAAAATGAAAATCATATCAACATGACATGTATTGCGGCCCCTTTTCCACAATGAAATAGGCTATAAATAGCTGTGCCGTTATTCAGAATTTTAATTGTGTGCCCTCATAATTTGCATGGATGAAATAAGCACACCCAAGCTATAGGCTTCTGCAGGGCTGAACCTGCTGAGTTTATGTATGCACTTTAGAGTGTTTTAATAATAGCCTACGCCCGGGCATTTCTCTCTTTTATTTTAAAATGTGTATCATTTTAAATATTAGCCACTAACAGGTGCCACCATCATTTATAACTGTCACTTTAGTGTTAGTTTTCTTCAACTTGTAGTTTACATTTTGCATCATTCCATTCCGGTTACCTTTCTTTCCTCTGTTACGTCCGTGTAAGTTGTTCCTGAGGGTCGCTAGCACTAGTGGATCATATTAGGCTAACGTTGTGCAATAATTCCGGATGTAGCCTATTTTAATCATTATGGAACTCAGACCACATGTAGCAGGTTAAACCTGGAGCCTGGTGCACGTTTCACGACGACTGGACCGTTGTCATACAGTTCCATGATTAATGAGAATTAGGGTAGATTTATAGAACTATTGTTCAACCCCTATTGTACACTTTTTTCCACCTTCCAATATTTCATGAAATGAACTTGAATATGAAAACTTTCAGGATGAATCAAACTACTATACTTTGTATTCATCTATATATTTTGTGTGTAAAGGCTCTCCAAATCAGATAGGAGGAGAGATATTTGTTTTCCATCCACAGATAATTGAGAGGTGTACAAAAACACACAACAGCATACAAATACTTTTTCATGTTTGGTAGAAAACATTTGGTTTGTAAAATTAGTAACATTCCAGATGAGGTGCTGCAATATGCACTGTCAGAGTGAGCTGTCAATGACTTTAGCTAGCGAGTCATTAGCATGAGAACGTGTCACTCAGACAGACATGATTGTCAGTCATAGGAGGGAATGATGGAAATCTCCTTCTTGAGAAATATCGGTGTCTATTGGAGTTCACACCCCTATTACATGTAACAACTGCAATTTCACAGTCAGAGTCTTCTATGCACATCTGAATCTGTGGCAGAAATATGTGTATATGACACAGAATGAATTATGAAACATAAACTCCCCACTGGGCACACCACTTCATTTCAACTTGGATAATTGGGTAATATTTGATTGAAACGGTGATCAATGAGATTACAATTTATATTCACCCACTCAAAAATACGAAAAGTTGGTTATTTATACATCAGATTAATGTGTTATCACTGTACTTCATCTAATAGCAGAACCAGATTACCTGGATTGCAGTTGAGATTACATTAAAAGTACATGGTTCAAGTGAGTGATCAATGCTGTTCGAGATTCTGCGCAGATTATTACAGCAATTCTTAAAACAAAATCTCCACAGAACTGCGAAGACATATGCATGCTATCTTGAATATGCATGCTTTATATGATTACATAGCCATTCATAGTTACAGTAACCTCAAAATGTGGCCATGGATGTGTTACTCATTTCAAGGTTTAATGTTACATTAGTTTGTAAGATAGCCTTAACATTAGGCTATTCACTGAATTAAGTAATACTGAATTGTGTTTGGTTGACAATGCAACAAAATGCAATTTAAAGGAGATTTGAGCTACTGGCTTAATCACAATCTTTAAATTGGAGATGTGAATCCAACATATAATTTGTTAACATATTGACAAGTTATTAGGCAATTTATTGTATATCAAAAGTGATATAGAATTTTGTTTGGTTGTCAACACAACCAAATATCAACATTTGAAGGAGATTTATATTCTGCTTGGATAGTTCCATCTGTGCCACTGCTTTCATTCCAGTTTGTCTACAAATTCATAATTTATATGTTGGATTCACGTCTCCATCTCAACCACAACTCTAAATTAAAGATTATGACTAAATCAAATCAAACTTTAAATGCACTTTAAATGAAGTTTGATTTGATTTACTCCTATTCTTGAATGTTGATGTGCATGGCACAGATGGAACTATCCAAGCAGAAGAATGTTGATATTTGGTTGCGTTGACAACAAAACACAATTCAATATCACTAAATATCATTACATTTGAAATCAAACAGAGCTTGAAACCCTAGACCTATTGTATTGTCTATTGTTAGTTGAATTCTAGGTTGAATTTAAACAATAGCTGTTGATGACTTTGCAAATGCTATATAGGCCTAAATATCATCCTTGATGATATATGAGTGATAAAGTATGGTAACATTTCATTTGCTTTGTTAAACATTTTAGTCATTTAGCAGATGCTCTTATCCAGAGTGATTTACAGTTAGTGAGTGCATACATTTTCATACTGGCCACCACGTGGGAATCAAACCCACAACCTTGGCATTGCAAACGCCATGCTCTACCAACTGAGCTACACGGGGCCTACCTTTGGAATGACTTGGATAGCAACAGTGAATCTATTTAGTTTTTATGTGGAGATATCTCAACAATCATTCTCACGATAGCACATTGGTAATAGTGTGACAAATATCATTGCTAAGCAGGACTGGGCTTGGTTAAAACCCTGAATGGGAGACGAAAAGGTAGCTGCAGATAAATCAATTCTCCAGTAGGAGGTGTTGCCCAGCCTATTGTTTTTTTTTTCTTCTGATAGTGGATATAACGTTGAAGATATGACGTTGTTTTAAAGGTACAAATTCAACATATTTTATACAAGGATTGTCTATGTTGAAATTTGGTTACCATGATGACATAATCCTGTGGTTGAAATGTCACCCTCAAAACAACAGTTTACGTTGACTTTTCTCAAATGCAATGTATTTTCCATGTAGATTCCATGTCACAAGATGTTGAAACAACGTTGATTCAACCAGTTTATGCCCAGTGGGTCCTACTAGAGAGTGACTGTCTGTGTTGACTCTGTCCACCAACAATGACCTTAACCAAAATTCCATGTCTTTAACACATGAATGAGAGAAAACACTTATGGGATGGGAGTGCTGTATACAGTAACAGTATATGACTAAAACAGTACTGCTGGGTTTCTGTTCAACCTGATAATTAATTGCACCCACCTGGTGTCCCAGGTCTAAATCAGTCCTTGATTAGAGGGGAATAATGAAAATCAACAGTGGAACTGGCTTCAAGGTCCAGATTTGAATTTGCCTGCATTAGTCACTGTTACTATTGTTGCCTAATTAAAGAGGTATACCAGACCTGTCAGCTGTAGTGAGTCTATGCCCTAGTATGTGTATAGTATGTGTGTGAGTATGTGATAACCTGACCACAGACTATTTAACTGAATTCCATTGTGGGTTGGTGTGTAAGTCCGTTTCACTATGCTGTACCTGTTTTACTAACGACACATTATCATGTTCTCATACTGTCAATAGTGGTGTTCCTGAATCGTTGTGAGAGTTGTACCATACTGTATGCTACTGTATGCATGGTCTCGTGTCATGACACGAGCAGTGCATGCTATCTGTGTGACCATGCCATTGGCTTCGCACCTGTGTGCAGTATAGCGGCACTTGTAGGAATGTGTATGCCACAGGAGGCTGCTGAGGGGAGGACAGCTTATAATAATGTCTGGAATGGAGTGAATGGAATGGTGTCAAACACATGGAAACCATGTATTTGATACCATTCCATTTATGCCATAGTAGACATTATTGTGAGCCTGTTCTTCCCCAATTAAGGTGCCACCAGCCGCCTGTGGTGTGTGCCAGTGCCGAAGGCTGCTTACCTGTGTGGCCATGGCAGTGGCACGGGCCCTCTGAAGGAGTCTGCGGCTGCGGAGGTCCTGGTCGGGTTGCGAGGCGGCTCCTTGGCTGCAAATGGCCAGGGCCAGACCCAGCAGGGCTAGGGCACAGTGTATTCGGCAGAACTTCATGTCCAACAGAGCTGGGTTGGGTTTGCAGGGACGAGAAGCGGTGAAACGAGCTGAACTAAGCTGGACCAGGGTGTGCTGGATCTGGATCAGTTGGTATGGAGCAGGCCTGGTTCTGTTGATGGGGGTTCTGTGGGGCTCTTATAAAGAGCTCGTCCTCTCAGCTCGTCACTCTGCTTCCTCGGTTGTGACAGGTGGCCTGTTAGGGATGTGGCGGGTGTGGACCCCCAACCTCTTTCCCCACCGGCTGCCCGGCGATGATGGAATGCTGTGTCATAAACCACTTAGAAACACTTTCCGCTTTCTCTTTGTCTCTTTGTTCAGCCATTTAGTCACAAATGCAGCTCCTCTGAGACATATTGATTTTAGATGGAGGCGCGACAATAAAACAATTAGCCAATATGGATTCAGTACACACCGCTAATCTAAATCAAATAGAAACAGAAAATGTCTGCTTCATGAAAGCCTTTAAAAACAGGAAGCAAGAGTCATCACTTAAGTTCAAAATATTAAACTTAAGTGATGACATCACGGAACACTGCCGAACAAAAGATTCCTCTAATGGATTTTAGGTGGGTTAATTAACAACACATATTGCCACTGATTGCTATAGTGGGATCAACAGATTAGACTTTGTTTATGTAAAATATAAAAATTATCATTTTGTTTGCAATGGTTAACACAGTTTCCATGAATTATGAGGTTAAAATCGTATAAACCATACAGTTGCACTTGCATCCAGTATTGTGGATATGTATTTGTTGAAGTGTGATTTGCTTATTTGTAAAGGCCTATTCTGAAAGGAATAATAGACTGAGTGCTATCTGTCTGATATCCCTCAGACAGCATTACATTTGGAATAAAACCAAATGACTGATTTCACAGACTCAATCTAATTCATAGGATACACCTTTTTCTACAAGAGTTGTTTCTGTTTATGCTGAAATGTCTGCTTATTTGCACAGAAGGCTGCATCATACTGTAGATATTGCTACTGTGCTACATTTTACTGTAGCTCTTCACTGCTCCCGTGTGGCCATGGATTACAGACTACAATAAACTTTGCCAGACGTTGTCAATGCAATTTTAACCCTCATCCCTAGGCTCAATTGCAGCTGGTGGACGACGTTAAATCAATTTTGATCATGATAAAAACCCAATAGAATACATCTTCATAAAAAATCTTTGGATGTCAACAAAATATACTAGCAGGGAAAAATGAACACTCATTTATTACAATGAAATATTGTCACAACTACCTACATTTCTCTAACTGTGTTGCAACTACACTATTGGAAATGACAGGTGAACTGTACAACTGTACGATTAATGGCATAGCAGAGCTTGAGGATTGTTAAAAGGACATGTACAGTTGAAGTCGGAAGTTTACATACATTTAAGTTGGAGTCATTAAAACTTGTTTTTCAACCACTCCACAAATTTCTTGTTAACAAACTATAGTTTTGGCAAGTCGGTTTGGACATCTACTTGTGCATGACACAAGTAATCTTTCCAACAATTGTTTACATTATTTCACTTATAATTCACTGTATCGCAATTCCAGTGGGTCAGAAGTTTACATACATACACTAAGTTGACTGTGCCTTTAAACAGCTTGAAAATTCCAGAAAATTATGTCATGGCTTTAGAAGCTTCTGATAGGTTAACTGACATAATTTGAGTCAATTGGAAGTGTACCTGTGGATGTATTTCAAGGCCTACCTTCAAACTCAGTGCCATCATGGGAAAATCTAAAGAAATCAGCCAAGACCTCAGAAAAAAAATTTTTTGTGTAGACCTCCACAAGTCTGGTTCATCCTTGGGAGCAATTTCCAAACACCTGAAGGTACCACGTTCATCTGTACAAACAATAGTACGCAACTATAAACACCATGGGACCACGCAGCCGTCATACCGCTCAGGAAGGAGACGAGTTCTGTCTCCTAGAGATTAACGTACTTTGGTGCGAAAAGTGCAAATCAATCCCAGAACAACAACAAAGGACCTTGTGAAGATGCTGGAGGAAACAGGTACAAAAACATCTATATCCACAGTAAAACGAGTCCTATATTGACATAACCTGAAAGGCCGCTCAGCAAGGAAGAAGCCACTGCTCCAAAACCGCCATAAAAAAGCCAGACTACGGTTTGCAACTGCACATGGGGACAAAGATCGTACTTTTTGGAGAAATGTCCTCTGGTCTGATGAAAAAAAAATAGAACTGTTTGGCCACAATGACCATCGTTATGTTTGGAGGAAAAAGGGGGATGCTTGCAAGCCAAAGAACACCATCCCAACCGTGAAGCACGGGGTTGGCAACATCATGCTGTGGGGTGCTTTGCTGCAGGAGGGACTGGTTCACTTCACAAAATAGATAGCATCATGAGGAAGGAAAATTATGTGGATATATTGAAGCAACATCTCAAGACATCAGTCAGGAAGTTAAAGCTTGGTCACAAATGGGTCTTCCAAATGGACAATGACCCCAAGCATACTTCCAAAGTTGTGGCAAAATGGCTTAAGGACAACAAAGTCAAGGTATTGGAGTGGCCATCACAAATCCCTGACCTCAATCCTATAGAAAATGTGTGGGCAGAACTGAAAAAGCGTGTGCGAGCAAGGAGGCCCACAAACCTGACTCAGTTACAACAGCTCTGTCAGGAGGAATGGGCCAAAATTCACCCAACTTATTTTGGGAAGCTTGTGGAAGGCTAACCGATACGTTTGACCCAAGTTAAACAATTTAAAGGCAATGCTACCAAATACTAATTGAGTGTATGTAAACTTCTGACCCACTGGGAATGTGATGAAAGAAAAAAAAACTGAAAGAAATAATTCTCTCTACAATTATTCTGACATTTCACATTCTTAAAATAAAAGTGGTGAAATGTCAGGAATTGTGAAAAAAAACTGAGTTTAAATATATTTGGCTAAGGTGTATGTACAATTCTGACTTCAACTGTAAATTACATTTAGGGGTTGCAGCATTTCAATGGCACAGAACATTTGCATCGGACGCACATGCACGCACGCATGCAAGCACCCACATACGCACACAAACACACCGACAGTTGTGATAAACACAGACAGATTCCATTCTGAACTGTTTCAGTTCATTAGAACCACTGAGGGAAAAACGTTGGGCATGCAATGCTTCAGACCCTTATTTGTTTAATAAATGTGGCTGCTGCTTACAATACAGAATAACAAGAGCGACCTTTGAGTTCATTTCCATGGGCAGTTATACAGGGCAGTTTAATTTAACCATACCCCTATGCTTGTGGCTGAGATAAATTAACATGATACAGTAGATGATATACTTTGCGTTAATTTAGCACTTCCTGGAACCGAAAACCATTAAACTCAAGGCTGACAAAAGTATCTTCTTTTAAATACATCTATAAATGAACACAAGCTATTGAATACAATTTGCAGATGAACGACATTACCATTAGGGAGTGACGGAATTCACACAGAAATGAGCATCGGAACACAATGTTAATGAAATGCGTTGGTTATACAAGAGTCAAGTGCAACGGTATCCATACAGACAACACTTTTCTGGGTATTTCTCTGAGGTCCAGTACAATATTTTGTTTGAAAAGCACTTGGTACTGTATGTCAGTTAAAAAGGGTGCAGGCGAGGCACAACATAGGAAAGCAATAAGGAAACAAAGGTGATATTATTGTACAGATAAATGGGAAATGCATAGCCTTCTCACTTTGGTATTAAATGTGATCAACACAGTGGCCATGGTTCCATTGGGAAGAATACATAGAAAGAGTCAAAATTGAAGTTTATGCAACATGCTAATCGACAGTGAAATTATGATAACTGTATCTTTCCATATAAATACTACACTAAAGCTCAACCTTTTTAAAGGGCCAAGTTGAGAGCATGTTAACAAATTCTTAATAATATTATTCAATATCTCCCTGACAAAGTGATTATTACAACAGAATTGCTCTATGTCCATTGTTGGTTTGCAGCAGTATTCAACCAACTACACTGTTTAGAAATCGAAGATAAAGTTACTAAGACATTCTAATGAAAAGAGATCTAGTGATCTGAGCGACATGTTTCTTCGCTAAATGCTTTTTTGGTAACTCTTTACTTATGTAGGTATAATGCATTATGACTTGTTATAAGCATATATTGGCTCTCAATCTTTTATACACATACATCTGTTAAATCTTTCTATGTGACTCAAAAATATTGTTAATAACTCGGGATCACTCTGAGATGCTACTAAGATATTGTAAGGGTATCATACATTTTTATGACAGTGCATTATTATGGCATCATAATGCATTATACTCGCTGGCTTTAAGTTAAATATTAATGCTTTTCCCTCCAAACTCAATTGCTGATAGCAAAACTGATCCTAGTTCAGCTGTCTGGTGTTAACAGCTGATCTGTAACTGACTGATCATCTTTTTTCATCCCCTTAATGGTTAAGGTTAGGTTTTGGGGTAAGGTACCCCCAATAAGGTACCAATCTTCTACCAGATTGCTATCATACTCATAACACCCAATAGACAACATACATCCAACAAACATACAGGCCATCAGGTAACTGGACAGGCAGTTAAAGTGGAATTCCACCACTTTTTAAACTTGTATTTATTATCTCCATCACCATTTTCAGTTTTAATGTTGATGACATCACTTCCTCCTGATTCGTCCCACACCGAGGCTCGAACCTAAGACCTCTGATTTGCTAGCACACGTAACAACGTATTAACTGTTTGACCTATCAAAAAATATTGATTCGATAGCGCCATTGGCTGATTATGCTCTGCAGTTGTCGGTTATCACGGCTTAATGCTGAACTGATTGAATCTAGTCCTGGATCACACTGACCATCTCCCATAAAACAGTCCAATCATTTAACAATAAAAACAAAATACAAACAAACAAACAGTAAAACTGAGAACAACACGTCAAATTGAGCAGAGGCCACTACCGGGGTTGCATCTCAATAGTCTTTCCTAGTTTCCTTGTGCACTCTCCTTCTGTCCTTCCCTTGCTGAAAATGTCAGCGTGAGTCGAGGAGAAGACTGGAGGGGATGAAACATGGAAACAAGGATCAGCGTTTGTAAGAATTGAGACATCCTTTGGTCTCCCAGGAAGCACCATGATTGAAACGCAAGTTTTTATTGAATTAATCAGTCTCTCTATTGCCATACAGTGGCTGATAGTGGGAGGTGCATCTCCAGTTCATTCCCCATCAGTTCTAGCTCTTAGGGTCTCTGCCACTGCTTCATACAGACCTGCAGCGACTGACTATACTCCCCGGGTAGTCTCCTTTCACTGTCTGAGGCCTG